CGCAGCAGGTGCGGGTGACCTGACCCGAAAGGGAGAGAGAAGCCTTCGGGAAGAAGGGCCGGGGAGTCTCACTCTACCCAAGGTGACCGGGGTGCATGTCGACGCCTCCGGGGTGGAATCAGGGCTGCGTGTCAGAGGATCCTGTAGAAGGTTATCACAGCCGTCTGGGAAGAGTTGATCAGGAGGATCTCAGTCCAAGAAGTAGGATTATTTCTGCGAACAGGTTGTCATCTTTTAGAAGACATGACGTAAAGCAGTGTTGAGTGCAGTGAAGGGTTAGAAGAATTTCACACGAGGGTTGGTCTTCCATGAAGGATCCTGGCATTCTTATAAATACCTGCTGATTCTTAATTATCGTGACACATTTGAGACCATTTCTTTTCTTTTTTTTTTTTTTTTAAAGATTTTTATTTATTTGAGAGAGAGAAAGCACATGGGGGGGGAGGCTCAGAGGGAGAAGCAGACTCCCCGCTGAGCAGGGAGCCCGATGCGGGACTCGATCCCGGGACTCCAGGATCATGACCTGAGCCGAAGGCAGTCGCTTAACCATCTGAGCCACCCAGGCGCCCTAGACCATTTCTTTTCATCCGGGTCAAAGAGGGTACTTCCTGTGTTCACTGTGTAGCAGCCTAATGAAGTCCACGGAAACTTGTTTGTGGTTGCTGCGTGGTGGGTGTACTGGGTTGTAGGTCCTGTTTGAGTTGATGTTGTTTTTGTTGCTGAGCAGGATGTGATGGTGGCAGGCGGGATGGAGAGCATGTCCAATGTTCCCTACGTCATGAACAGAGGGGCAACGCCATATGGTGGCGTCAGGCTTGAAGATTTGATTGTGAAAGATGGGCTAACTGATGTCTACAATAAAATCCATATGGTAATTCTTGATTTTTTTTTTTTTAAAGATTTTATTTATTTATTTGACAGAGAGAGACACAATGAGAGAGGGAACACAAGCCGGGGGGCGGGAGAGGGAGAAGCAGGCTCCCCGCTGAGCAGGGAGCCCGATGTGGGGCTCGATCCCAGGACCCTGGGACCATGACCTGAGCCGAAGGCAGACGCTTAATGACTGAGCCAGCCAGGCGCCCCGGTAATTCTGGATTTTTAAGGAGAAATACCATCGAGTATACAATACTGTTTGATTTTTTTAAGTGTATTTTAGTAACTGAAGGATGGGCTCTATAAATGTTGATTTTAGCCATTCATTTCAGCAAAATATTTCTTGACTCCCTGCATCAGTTTGACTCAGTTGTTGAGTAAACTGCCCCACACTGGAATAGGGCGTTTTCTGGCTTCTGGTAATGGATTCCATAACTATTTAATTATTTGCCTTTGAAATAGCAACTTCTGGGCTCATTGAAGTATCTAAATATGAGACATGAGTGAAAAATGACCTAGCACAGAAAGAGGTGTGTTTTAAGAAACTAAATTTAATGGCTAACCCCTATTTTGTTATGCAAGTTAATAAGTTATGCAAAGCGAATTACTTGTTTGAGAATTCCAACTTTGATCAGGGGGGCTGTGCTGAGAACACCGCGAAGAAGCTGAACATTGCGCGAGAAGAACAGGACACGTACGCGATTAACTCCTACACCAGGAGTAAAGCAGCGTGGGAAGCAGGAAAATTTGGAAATGAAGTTATCCCTGTCACAGTTACAGTAAAAGGTAGAGGGAGGATATTCCAAAATAGATTTTTCACAGGTTGCTAAAAAATTTCTCTTTAAATTCATTCATTTTTATCTTCGTTCAGCTGAGGACACAGATACTTTTGCTTATGGTTAATAGAGGGGAATCCTGCCAGGGTAGAGAGAATTTAATTCAACCCAATTTCATATCCACTTCCAACACAACTGCAAGTGCCACTAAGAAGAATGTTTCCAATTTGAGAAATGTGTTTATTAGGCATCTTTCTAGTATCAGTGACAGACGGTTTATTAGCCCTGGAGGTGAGGAGGAAGGCCACCCGGCAGCAAGCAGCAGCTCTGGGAGCTCCGGGCACGCGACCTGGTGCCGAGCGCTGCGCGCTGTCATCCAGCTGTCTCGGGGGTCCTCCTGACCGCCCTCAGTCACAGAGCAGGGGGCTGTCCCCACCCACTCGGGCAGAACCCAAAGCGAAGCCTGGTTGGGTTGGCTCCGGTTCCGTTTCTGCTGAGAAAAGACGAGGCTCCGAGTGGTAGAATTACTGGAGCTTGTGCACGCCTGCAGTCGGGAGGGGGTGGGATCGCAAAACGGGGAGAGGAGAGAACGGGATGTTGTCGAATCGAAGGTTTAAACTGTGTTGAACTACTTAATAAACTCTTTCAGTGACTAACAGAGATGATAGGTGGTGGATTCTCGAGTAGGATTGACTTGGGATGGTGCAAGGTGAGCAGGCCCCACGTGGGAGGGACACTTGCTGTGTCTTACTCAGTGACTCGCTGTTGTCCTGACTGGTGATGAAAGACTTGTGTTGTAGGTAAACCAGATGTACTGGTGAAAGAAGACGAAGAATATAAACGTGTTGACTTTAGCAAAGTTCCAAAGCTGAAGACAGTTTTCCAGAAAGAAAATGGTTAGTATGAAGAAATGAAGCATGGCAAAAAGTGGAGGTAAACTCCATCTCTCTGTCTTGGAACTGCCTCAGGATTTTAGAAAAGTAATTCTAGAAAACATCTAGATGTTATTTAACATTTCCAATAGGTCAGGCTCATGTGAAATTAACAAATTATATTTATCCAAAAAAAAACCTTAAAATTGTTTAACAGTGAATACCTTCAATATAGAAATCCTAGGGAAGAGATTGTAGAATGAGTATAGAATCCAGTTTTTCATATGTAATTCATTTTGAAAGCTTATTCTGAAATGAAAGATGTTTATATGTTAAATACCTGTAAGATTCTTGAGGATGAAGTTGACAGCAGTGTTGTTCACTGTTTTATTTCCAGCACCTGGCATGGAACTAGTAATTACTGAATGCTACCATAAATGGGATTCCAGTGCTCAGATAATGCTTTTGAAATCCTTGAGGTGGTCCGTTGTGCTTTTAAAATTGGCAGACTTACTGGTGATGATAATCTAAAGTTACTTCTTCTGCCTTTCCTGATTTGAATTTCTCAATACCAACACAGGGACGGATCAGTCTTTTTTTAAAGCACCATGTAAAATTTATATTGCAAAAGTGTATTTTTATATTTTATATTTTTTCCTGCAGTACTGCAGGGTCTTGGTTGCAATTTTTAGAAAAGCTTAATTGACAATTTACATACCGTTAAAATTTAAAATGTACAGTTCAGCGATTTCTAGTATTCTTGACATTTAACGTCAAGTGATGGTGGAGAAGCTGGTTTTGACGCAGTATCTGATCTAGTGTCGATAAGCAAAGTTGGACTCTGGCAAGAAAAATGAATGAGCTGGCCCTTAACCTTGGAGGACCTGGGGGCCGGCATCGGCCGCTGCCGCCTCGCAGACCGGGACCGGCCCCCGCGTCCCGTTGGGGTTAGCGAGGCGTATGGGTCGTTTCGCACGCCTCTCGCAGCCCGTCGGTGCCCTGCGGGGGTGCGCTGACCTGAAGCGTTGGAGCGTGGAGCGGGGTGTGGCGCGAGCCCGCGCAAGCCCACGCTCCCCTGCTTTTGCAGGCACGGTCACGGCTGCCAACGCGAGCACGCTCAACGACGGCGCGGCCGCCCTGCTGCTCATGACCGCCGGCGCCGCCCGGAGGCTCGATGTGACGCCGCTGGCCAGAGTGGCAGGTACCGCCCGGGCCGCGTGGTTTCTCCCCGAGCCCTCGAAGCTTCCTGCTTGGTGCCCGACGGGGTTGAGGCCGGCGGCTTCTGTCTGGAGGCTGCACCCGCTGACAGTGTCTCTCCTGTGCTGAGATAGGCGCTGCTGTAGTAATTTGTTGTAATCCATTTTGTAGGAGAGTAAGCCCTAAAGACCCCCTCCCGTCCTCTCCGACGGGTGGGAGAATAGAAGGTACATGTCCCTGGCGCAGAGGGGAGAGGTAACCACGTAGCTTGAAAAGAATATGAAGTTAGGGGTTTAGAACTAGGAGTCCAGGTATTTTGGCATTTATCTATGTGACCTGTCATACCCTCAGTCTCCTTAAACATATTTTTAGCTGTAAAATCTGCCTTGTTAATGAGTTAAAATTGTTATTTTATAAAAAGGCTTCACTTTTTTTTTTTTTAGAATCACAAGCAGGGGGACAGGGACAAGCAGACTCCGGCTGAGCACGGAACCCACGCAGCCCCACTACCTTGGGGTGGTGACCTGAGCCAGAACCGAGTCAGACGCCTTACTAACCCCCCCGAGCCCCTCAGGCACCCCTTCATTTTTAGCTGGAATCTTGGTTTCTTAACCTCAGCACTTCGGACATTTTGCAGCAAACCAGTCTTCGTTCCTGAGGCTGCTCCGCACACTGGAGGACACCTAGTCGCCTCCTCAGCCTCTCCGCCCTGGACGCTGCAGAGAGTGGCGTCCTACCTGCTGCGTACCTCAAGTACCTCTAGCTAATGCCAGTGTCCCTGGAGGCAAATTTCCCCCAACCCCCTGCTTAATGAAAATCAGTGGCCCAGATGATGGATCTAATTTTATAAAGCCTAGAACTTTTTAGAAAAGGAACAAATACTTTTACATATAGTATTGGGGTTAGGAAGCTTGCAGTTCTGCATATTATATCTAATGACAGATGTCACTTGTAAAAAGATTTTAATGACCTATTTGATAATTTTTTTTTAAACAAAGCATTTGCTGATGCTGCTGTTGAACCTATTGATTTTCCAGTTGCACCTGCGTATGCTGTACCTAAGGTGAGAACCAAGTGAGGGGCAGTACCCCACTGTACCAGCTTCTGTTCCGCTGCAAGCAAAGCTGCAGGGTTTGGGTTTTAAATGTTATGCATCTGAGGAGGCCTGGAGATAAGATAGGAAGATCTGAAACCAAGCTTTTTTTTTTTTTTAAGATTTTATTTGAGAGAGCGTGAGTGGAGGGAGGGGCTCCCCAATTGAGTGGGGAGCCTACTGCAGGGCTCTATCCCAGGACCCCCAAATCATGACCTGAGCTGAAGTCGGATGCTTAACCGACTGAGCCACCAAGGGGCCCCCAAATCTTCCAACTTCTGAAAACAGTTTGGTGTGTGGGTTGCTCAGAGCTTCAGTGGAACAGACACAAACTATGTAATTATTTTTAAGTAGGATGCTCACTCACACCTGGTATGGTAACCACAAAGTGGGAGGTTGCCGTGGCAGAGAAAAAATTACTAAAGGTACTGGTTCTAGAATTCAGATAATTCACTACTAGGAGAGAGAGGTCTCCATTCTGAAAGGGAATTGCTGGGAGGAGCCGGTCTTAGAGTAAAACGAAAAACGGAGAAAAAACCTACATACTCCAAGCTGTCACTGTCTCTAAGGGAAGTTGCTAAGGGGTCACAGGAAGAGACGGTGCTGAAGGATCTCAGAAGATTCCAGCAAATACTCCTTTTCAGAAGGAGAGGGCCTACCCCTGGGAGGGAACTTCTGAGACCAGCACCCAGACTGAGCAGAAATCAGTGAGGATTATGGGAAGAGAGGATCAGAAACGATGGGGTGGTGGATCTCAGAAAGGAACAGAATGACACAGCTTCTGAAAGTGAATGCATCACATTGGAGAGCAAGGGTGAGAAACAGTTCTGGATTCTGAAGGTATAGCTCCAATCCTGACCGCGGCTTGACTGAGAGCCAGAGAAGGGGCTCCATGGGTTTTGTCTTGTGTGGCAGGAGCTCTGCAGCCTGAAATGTGGAGCCTGCTGGAGGGAGAGAGGAAAGGGGAGGAAGAGTTTCCAATTAATTTTATTGTTGCTCACAACAACAAAAATTTCTAAAAGGACATTAGAATTTTATAAATATATAAGCATAACCATTATTATTAGCACCGTAACACCTTCCTGCACAGCTGACCGAACTATTTAGAATAAAAGACTTGAGATAATTTGCAGTGAAGATGCAATAGCTAAGAATGTCTGTGCCTGTATGACCCCAGAGCGGCTCTTATAAAGGAGAAACTACGGGAGATGCAGTGAAAACAACCGTACTAAGAGTAGAAACTAACAGACCTCTCTCATTTGACAAATCAATAATCTACAATTGAGCGATGTAGTAAAGTAGATCGTAAGACCATCCAGTTATAACCCCCAAATAGAGAATATGTGTACTTTTCAGGTACCCATGGAACATTCAAGAAAATCTAGTTCTATTGCTGCAAAATAGAAATAATGCAAACAAAATTCTTTGCTCACAGTGCAATGAGACATTAAAATCAGAAAATAAAAAAGCTCTTCCTCCTGAAAACTAAGAAACTCCGTATTTAAATATCCCTTGCATCAAGGGGAAATAGCAATCCAAATTGCAGAATTCTAAGAAAATAATGAAAATAAGTTCTGACTGTTAATCGATCATTAAAAAAATTTTAGGTTCTTAAAGCTGCAGGACTGAAAAAAGAGGATATTACGATGTGGGAGGTGAACGAAGCCTTTAGCCTGGTTGTGCTAGCAAACATTAAAATGCTGGACCTCGATCCCCAGAAAGTGAACATCAATGGAGGAGCGGTTTCTCTGGGACATCCGATTGGGTAGGTAAAGTCAGACAACTCTGTCTAGGCTAATGGCAGCGTAATGGACTTCGTAGTTTTGTCTAAATGTTCACCGCTTCGTGCTCATTCCTATTACTCCTAGTCGGACTGGTTTCCTTCCCATCTGTCCTCCGAAGGGCAAACACCATTTTTGATAGGATCTGACACCGAACACAGATCTGCCACAGGCAGTTACCAGAGAACTAGTGGTGTTTTAAGATTAAAATCTATGCTTGGGCTTTAAAAAAAGCTGTTACCGTTTTTGAAACACATCTCCCACATTGAAGGGAAGGAGTTAAATGCTCTAATAGACTTTTCAAGTGAATATGGAATGGAAACTTGGTTTGGTCAGATATTCTGTAATTTATGTTAAAGAACACAAGTGCCTTCTTAATCCTAGGATGTCTGGAGCCAGGATTGTTGTTCACTTGGTTCAGGCCTTGAAGCAAGGGGAGTACGGTCTCGCCAGTATCTGCAATGGAGGAGGGGGAGCGTCTGCCCTGCTGATCCAGAAGCTGTAGGCAACGCGTGTCGTCTAAAGCAACAATCGCAACAGTCCTACGTGGCCGGAAGGTCTGCCGCCCTCAGTGTGACTGACCGCCCTGGGTCAGCTTGTATGCTCAATCTGTTCTGTTGTTTCTTCTAACATTTTTACAGTAAGAACAAGATCAACTCTCAAACCCTTTGAAATTATCAATAAATGTTTTCTTCTGTGTTAAGTCTTTTGTAATCTTTAGTAGTTCAGAATAGTTTTTGTCAAGCTGTACTATTTGAAATACCAGTGTGCAGCCGCTGTTACTTAGAAGTGGAGGCTTCCGTTTTACAGAACAAATCATTTCTATTTTGAGGACTGTCCGAGGTCAAGTGAACGTCATGATAGCTAACTGAGTGGAAGTGAGCACAGTGTTGCTGGAAACTGGATAGGTCCGCGTGCTTGGGTCTAGCAGGGGTACAGTCTCTCCCAACGTTAGCATGCAGGATTTGAGGGGGTATGAGAAAACCTGGGCGGGGGTTGGCCTCTGGATTACTAACTACAGCAGTTGGGGTGGGGGGAGCTGCTCCGCTGAACGGATTTATCAGGTGCAGAGACTCTGTTCTTAAGCAGGAGAAAATGCAGCCCACTGTGGGCAGGGGCTCTGTGCACCCACCTCAGCGGTGGCTCCGAGAAGGGCCGCTCCTTTTCCGGTTGAGACAGCGGTGGGAGAGGGAAGGGGCAGAAAAGATGACGTATACACAACCTCCTGGCAAATGATTCTTGTGAATCCTTACCTGAGAAGGAGCAAAAAGACAATACACAGAAAAGTGTTAGAATACTTAAAAAAATATATCTGTATAGTAATCACAGCTAATATTTGTAGCTCATTATGTACTAAGTCCTCTGATCTTCACAAGAACTCAAGGTCGGCACGATCATTTCCTCTCAGGTGCGGAGAAGGACACCGAGGCCCGGAGGAGGGAAGCTGTGCGGTCTGGTGTCAAGCTGCCTGGTCAGGAGCTGAGCTGTGGCTGATCCAAGCAGCCCCTGCGGCCGCCGTGCTCAGGGGGCCTCCGCCCCGACCCTGACAGGAGGGGCCAAGACGCATGAGGAAAAGAAAACCCAAATCTATTAGAATACTTCACGGAAGACAAGCAGAAGTAACACTGCATCTCGAAGTCAGTGACAGCGAAAAGCCCGCTGACAGTTCGGGGAGAGGAAAAGTAAAATATAGAACCATGAGTAAATGGTATTTCTTAAAAAAAGAAGAAAAACCCCAAAACAAAACAAAAATACCACGTGGTGCTCCCAAGGATTAATTATAATAGAAAAACTCTGAAGGCCTTATTTCATTAGCAAAATTAATTAACAGAATCCTACTAAGATTCTGGAGAAAATATCTAGGTGGAAAAATGGGTAGCCTCAGTCCTTGTTTTAATAAATACTAGAAGACAAGTGACCAACATCTACGTATTTTTAATGAAACAAAGACACTAGGAATCTGTGGGCATGCAAGAGCTTATAAAATACGCTCTACTATTTCCTCCAAAAATGACAAAGTTTATTATCAGCACATGGAAAGAAAATCAAGAATTCGAGAATGTAAAATTTTTAATTTTCTTAATTTTTAAATTTAAAGTTTAAAAGGACTGGCTGGAGAGGAGGGGAATGTAGTAAAATCGGGGTAGAAAAAATACACACGCACTAACTAAAGGCAAATGCCAGTAGAATGTAAAATAAGTTCTACAATAAATTACTATAGAAGATAAAAGCTGAAAAACTCCATTATCAAGTAAAAAGAGAAGGTAGTATGTATCAGAAATCACTAGTAGGCAAGGCACGAACAGGACAAGAATGCTTTATAAAGAAAAGATCGTTCAAAATAAAGTTCTAGGGAACCTGAAGACGAAGAGGAAAAAGGAGGTGGTAGTTTTTACGGAGCGAAGGCATTTAGCATGGATCTAGGAGTGCGCGCTGCTCCTCCCTGGAGACTGGGGAGCCAGCAGACCCCCACCTCTGACTTCTCCCTTGAACTTACAGATACAAGTATCTTCTAGAAGTAGTTTGCATGTGTGTCCAGTGCCCTTCCTTTTGTAGCTGGGACCAAAGGCTGGGTCCCTGGATAACCTGGCTTTGACGGGCAACAGGGCTTGCACTCCTGGATCACAAAGAACTGTAGCAAAGAAGCAATTATTAGCGGATGCAGGAGCAACCCCCACCCCCCAGCTCCAGTGCAGAGGCTGCTGGCCACGAAGTCTGCTGTCTGCTTTCTCTCGGGAAAGGCCTAACAACATACCTTGTCAGCTGCTGCCAGACAGTCCCGCCTGCATCTAGGTGCTGACTGCAGTCCTCCCCTCCCGGACACTTGCGTCCTCGCACACCTTCAAGTGCTCGGAGCCACTGGAAAGCAACAAGCAGCAGAGGTGATCACAGAAGACTGAGAGACAACCAAGACTCTGGCCAGGCTGACTGAAGATGTTCGTCTCCCACACAAGGTCAACAGGTAGAAACCACCTAAGAGAGTCAAGGAAGATGAAGAAACGGGGATTTGTGCTCAACAAAAGAACAAGATCGAACTTAACCAGACCTTAATGAAACAGCAGTGATTTGTCTGACAAGTAACAGCCACAAAGACACTCACTGGGTTGGGAGAACAATATATAAACAAGGTGAGAATTTCAAAAAAGAAAATATAAAAGTACCAAAGAGAAATCCGAGCTGAAGGATACAGTAACTGAACTGAAAACTTAAGGAGTCAGACTTTCCCACGTGGAAGAAAGGATCCGCGAAATCAGGACGGCGAATCTCATCCAATCAGAAGAGGAGACGGAGGAAGGGGACTTAAAGCTCGTATGTGACAACATCAAGTGAACAAATATTTGCATTACTGGGGTCCCAGAAGGAGACAGAAAGGGGCAGAGAGCTTATTCAAAGAAATAATGGCTGAACACTTCCCTAACCTGGGAAAACAAACAGAAATCCAGATCTAGGGGGCCCAGAGAGTTCCAAAAAAGATGAATCCACACAGTCCCACATTGAGACACATTATAATTAAAGTGTCAAAAGCTAAAGCCAAGGAGAGAATCTTAGAAGCAGCAAGAGAAAAAATGACTTGTTACTTACAAGGAAAACCCCTTAAGAAGAGTTTTCAGCAAAGTCTGCAGGCCTGAAGAGAACGGCAGGATATATTCTAAGTGCTGAAAGGAAAAAAAAAATGCCAACCAATACTTTACCCAGCAAAGTTGTTCTTCAGGTTTGAATGACAGTTTTCTGGACAAGCAAGAGCTGAAGCAGTTCATCACCACTAGGCCAGTCTCACAAGAAATGTGAAAGGGACTTCTTCAACCTGAAAGGAAAGGATGCTAATTAGTAACAAGGAGACATTTAAACGTTTAAGTGTCCCTGGTAAAGACAAATACATGGTCAAACTCATAATACTCTAATATTGTAATGGTGGTGGGCAAATTATAACTCTAGTATGAAGGTTAAAAGCAAAAATATTAAAAAGTTTAACTACAAAAATTTTTAATGGGTGTTCATGGTAAAAATATAAATTGTGACATTGAAACCAGTGTGGTGGGGGAGTGTAAAAGTGTAGTTTTTGTATGCATTTGAAGTTAGTTCTTATAGCTTAGACTGTTAAAATATCTTCTATAAGCCTCATGGTAACCACAAAACAAAAACCTACAGCAGATACACAAAAGATAGAGACAGGAATCTAAGGATGCCAACCACAAAAAATTATCAAATCACAAAGGAAGAGAGCAAGCGATGAAGAAGGAAACAAAGGAATTACAAAACAGCCAGAGAAGAATTAACAAAATGGCCATACCTGTAAATAATAACTTTAAATACAAATGAACTAAATTCTCCAACCAAAAGACAAAGAGTAGCTGAATGGAGAAATAAAAACTTGACTATATGCTGCCTGCAAGAGATTCACTTCAGCTTCAAGGACACACTGACTCAAAGTGAAGGGTTGGAAAAAGACATTCCATGTATGGAGGCTAAAGGAAGCAGGGTAGCTGTATTTGCTTTGGACAAAACAGACTTTAAGACAAAAACTGTATAATATAAAGAAGGTGGGGGGGCAATCCAACAGGGAGTTAAACAATTTCAAATATATACACACCCAACACAGGAGCACAATTCAAGAGTAGGAGACTTCAGTGTTCTACTTTCAACAATGGAGAGATCATCCAGATGATCAGTAAGGAAACACTGGACTTGAATCAACATGTCAGACCAGATGGACTTAGATATTTACAGAACATCCCATCCAACAACAGAAATACACATTCATCTCAAGGGCATATGGAACACCATCCAAGATAGATCACAGGTTAGGCCACAAAAGAAATCTTATTAATTTTAAGGTGTTTGAAATCATATCCAGCAACTTATTTAACAGTGGTATAAAATTAGAAATCAATTATAAGAAGAAAAAGTGGAAAATTCACCACAAATGGAGGTTAAAAACATGCTACTGATAAATCAGTGGGTCCAAGAAGAAATCAAAAGAGAAATACACAAAGTATTGACACGGGTGCCTGGCTGGCTCAGTCAGCAGAGCACGTGACTCTTGATTTCCGGGTTGTGAGTTTGAGCACCGTGTTGGGTACAGAGGTTACTTAAAAATAAAATACTTAAAAAAAAAAATGTGCACACAAATGAAAATGGAAGTACAACATACCAGAACTTTTGGGATGCAGCAAAAGCAATTCTAATAGGGAGGTTCACAGTGATAAATGCTCACGTTATGAATCAAGAAAGATCTCAATCTCAAATAAACACACTAACTATACCTCGAGGAACTAGAAAAGAAAGAACCAAGCCCTAAGTTAATAAAAGAAGGAAATAACAAAGATCAGAGTGGAAAGAAATGGAGACTAAAATGACAATAGAAAAGACCAATAGAGTTAAGAGTTGATTTTTTTTTTTTTTTAAAGGCAAAAACAGAAAAACCATTAGCTAGACTTACCAAGAAAATAAAGAGAATTTGCTTTGGCAGCACATATACTAAAATCGGAACAAAAATAAGAGAACTCAAGTAAATAAAAGTATAGATGAAGGAGGAATCCTTACATGAATACTACACAAATACACAGGATAGTAAGAGATTACACTGAATTACCAACAAATTGGAGAACCCAGAAGAAATGGATAAACTTCTAGAAAACATACAATCTACCACGATTGAATCGTGAAGAAACAGAATATCTGAACAAACCAATTAATAGTAAGGACATTGAATTAGTAGTCAAAAACCACACAATGAGGTCCAGGACCAGACAAGCTTCACTGGTTAATTCCATCAAACATTTAAACAGAAGAGAGGGCGCCTGGGTGGCTTAGTCGGTGAAGTGTCTACCTTAAGCCTGGGTCATGATCCTGGGATCCTGGGGTCCTGGGATCAAGCCCCACACTGGGCTCCCTGCTCAGCGGGGAGTCTGCTTCTCCCTCTCCCTCTAACCCTCATTTGTGCGTGCTCTCTCTCAAATAAATATAATCTAAAAAATAAACAGAAGAGGAGGAAACACTTCCAAAATCATTTTATGAGGACAGCATTACCCTGGTACCAAAACTGGACAAAGACATTACAAGAAAGAAAATTACCGGCTAGTATCCCTGATGAACAGGGGATTTCATAGCTACGAAAAGCCTGAACAAGGATTAGCAAACCAAATTCTACAGCACATTAATGTGATACATCATTTAACAAAATGTAAAAATCATATGATCATCTCTATAGATGGAGAAAAAGCATTTGACGAAATAAGGTTGAAAAGCTGAAAGTTTTTCCCCTAAGATCAAGAACAAGACAACAATGCCCACTTTCAGCAATAAACTGGAAGTCCTAGCCAAAGAAATTAGGCAAGGAAAAGAAATAAAAAGTATTCAAATCAGAAAGGAAATAAAACTACCTCTACTTGCAGATGATATAATATGATATATAGAATACCCTAAAGACTCGGCCAAAAAAAATGTTAAAACTAATAAATGAATTTGGTAAAGTTGTAGGACACAAGATCAGTATAAAAAAGTCAACTGCATTTATATACACCAACAATCTACTAGCAGACATTAAGTAAATAATCCCATTTACAATTTCATCAAAAAAAGAATAAAGTTATCTAGTAATAAATTTAATCAGGGAGGTGAAAGATCTGTATACTGATACTAGTAAGAACCAAATGGAAAGATATTTCATGCTGATGGACTGGAAGAATTAGTATTATTTTAATGTCCATACTACTCTATGGATTCAGTGCAATCCTTATCAAAATTTCAATGGCATTTTTCATGGAAATAGAATAAACAATTCTAAAATTTGTATGGAACTACAAAAGACCCTGAATAGCCAAAGCGATTTTGAGAGGAATAACAAAGCTGGAGGAATCACACTTCCTGACTTCAAAGTTATAGTAATCAAAACAGTATAATACTGGCATAAAAGACACACAGATCAATAGAACAGAGGGCCTAGAAATAAATCTATGCAACACATAATTAATTTAGGACAAAAGAGCCAAAAATATAAAATGGGGAAAGGACAGTTTCTTCAATAAATGGTATTGGGAAAACTGGACAGGTATATGCCAGAGTGAAACTAGACCCTTATTTTACCCCATATATAAAAATGAACTCAAAATGGACAAAAACTGAAATTTAAGATCTGAAACCATAAAGCTCTAGAAGAATACACAGAAAGTGACCTTCTTGACATGCACCTTGGCCATGTTTTTTTTGAATTTGATACCAGAATCAAAAGCAAATAAATGGGCCTTTATCAAACTAAAAAGCTTCTGCACAAAGAAACCATCAGCAAAAAGAAAAGACAACATATGGAATGGGAGAGATTATCTACAGACCATCTATCTGGTGATTAATGTCAAACAAACAAACAAAACCTCACATAACTCAATAGCAAAAAACCAGACAATCGAACTAAAAATTGGGCAGAGGATAAGAATACACATTTACCAAGGAAGATCTATAAATGACCTGCAGGTCCATGAAAAGGTTACTCAACATCAGTAGGCATCTGGCAAAGGCAAATCAAAACAACAACATACCACCTCACACCTACGAGAATGGCTGTCATCAAAAGCACTGGCAAGGATGCAGAGAAAGGAGAACCCTCGTGCACTGTTGCTGGGAATGTAAGCTGGTGCAGTCATTATGGAAAACAGTATGGAGGGTCCTCAAACATTCAAGAAGAAAAATCAGAAAAAATATGACCCAGTCATTCTACTTGTGGATACATGTGTGCATGTGTGTCTATATACCCTAAGGAAATGAAAAGCAGTGAAAAGACAGGTGGACTTACTCCACTGTGCACTGCAGCTTCATCAGCATGATCCACAGCAGCTAAGATATGGGAACACCTGAGTGGCAGTCGATGAATGAACAAGATAAAGGAGCGGTGGTAAATGTATGCAATGGAGGATGATTCAGGCATGAGAAAGACATTCTGCATTTGCAACATGGGTGGATCTCGAGGGCATTATACTTAGTGAAATAAGCCAAAGAAAGACAAATATTGCACGGTATCATCACTTATTTATGGAATCTAAAAAAAAAAAAAAAAAAGAAAAGTCAAATTCCTAGAAACAGAGTAGGAAAGTAGTTGCTAGGGGCTGGGGCCTGGAGAGTGGTGGTGGAGGAAATGGGATTTTATAAAAGGGTACGAAATTTTAGCTCTAAGATGAATGAAGTTTGAGGGTCTCCTGTATCGTGTGGTGACTACAGTTGGTAATACTGTATTACAGGACTGAAATGTGCTGGGAGAACTCACAGGTCACACACACAGCCAAGAAGAGGCACATGTGAGGTGGTGGATGTTTGTTAACTTGCTGGGAGGAATCCTTCCTCGATGTACTGTAGATCCACTCGTGATGTACACTTCACGTATCTTAACAACTATAGTCATCAATCTTAATAAAGCTGAAAAAAATGCAGTAATGACAGCTCTCGACTATGCCCTGAGCAATGATACCAAAACAACTGAGGCAAAAACAATGGCCAAGATAGTAGTAACGGGAAAGTACATGTTTATGACAAAAGTGTTAAAAGCAAAGTTAGGATACTATAAAATTAAATATCAAACCTAGTATCTTTATAAACAGAATATTTGTTTTGAAGCATCCATGCAAAATTTACAGAAATATCAACTAATCTTTTTACCAGAATAATAAAAACAAATTTTAAGCAAAAAAATAAGCATGCTACTTTATTCTAAGTAATTAAATTATACAAGAAAATAATGAAACAAGAAAATGAAAGTACTTACCCTATCTTCCAAATTTCGATGTCTTACCGTGAAATCAGACCTAAATTCATAGCCTTAATTAAATGCTTACATAGTTTTAAAAGGAAAAAAAGCCAGATAACTCTTCATTCAATTTAAGAAATTAAACATGAAAAAGAACTCTGAGGAAAAGAGCAAACATTAAGAATAAATGACCAGTCGGGGTGCCTGGGTCGCTTAGTCATTAAGCGTCTGCCTTCAGCTCAGGTCATGATCCCAGGGTCCTGGGATTGAGCCCCGCATCAGGCTCCCTGCTCCGCGGGAAGCCTGCTTCTCCCTCTCCCACTCCCCCTGCTTGTGTTCCCTCTCTCGCTGTGTCTCTGTCAAATAAATAAAATCTTAAAAAAAAAAATAAATGACCAGTCAATCAGAAAAGTATACAATTGTTAAACCTAACAGGTGATTTTGTCAGAAAATTAGTCTCTAAAGAGAATGAGCAAGATTTAGGGGAAAAAGATAATTAATTCAGAAAAAAGCTCGAAGCCTGATTAGACCAATCAGCCTAGAAGAACTTTTGGGGGGAAAAACCTAAATTGCTGCTGCAAAAGCCTGCCGGCTTCGATCATTTCGTGGTGATTTAGTTTCAGGAATAGTTAGCTCCCATTCTCAATATTATCTGCTGCAGAATGCAGAAATGAAAAAACAGCATAGGCACTAGCTGCAACATGTTCCAGACGCTGACCTAAGTGCTCTGCATATATTGTCTCAACCATCACATGAATCCTCAGACAAGCACTATTTACTATTCCAATATTCAGATAAACTGAGAGAGGGTAAGTTCCAAATTCAATGAAAAAAAACTGGCATAAGCTTAAAACCAATCTCATTAGAAGTAAACATTTTAAATAAAATGTTGACAAATCAAATTTAGTTATACTTAAATCAGTAAGATGCAAAGCACACATTAGAATTATTTTTATAAATTCATGGATTTAATAAAATATATATTTTTTTAGCATCTCTATTCGCTCACAATAATACACAGCCCCTGGATTAATAAAATATTTTAATTGATGTTAGAAGAGCACCTAATTAAGTTGAACAGATACTCCTGATGTAAATTCTTAAAACACTGCAAACAAAATACAACATTGTACTTAACATTCTCATTAAAATGAGGAATAAGACATGGAAGCCTACTTTGATCATTATTAGTTGTACTTGAAGTGCTAATCACCATAGTTAAGAAGAAATGAAATTAGAAAATAATTAGAGAGTGGGCGCCTGGGTGGCTCAGTTGGTTAAGCGACTGCCTTCGGCTCAGGTCATGATCCTGGTCCCGGGATCGAGTCCCACATCGGGCTCCCTGCTCAGCGGGGAGTCTGCTTCTCCCTCTGACCCTCTTCCCTCTCATTCTCTCTCTCAAATAAATAAATAAAATCTTAAAAAAAAATAATTAGAGAGGATACATCCTTAGGAAATAAAAACTAAGCATCAGAAAAACCATTAGTTCTAATAGAGCTCTTAGTAAGTGGCTCAAACATAAAAACCTAAAACAAATTTCCTACATTCATTACGATGGTGTGTTACTGGCACATCTTTAAAACGTACACCAATGGTACAAACTTCCAGTTATAAAATTAGTAAGTCACGGAGATGAAAAGTACAGCTGAGGGAATACAGTTAATGATCCTATAATAACGTTTTTTGGTGACAGATGGTGACTACCCTTACTGTGCTGAGCACCAAGTCATGTGTAGAATTGCTGAATCAGTATGTTGCATAACTGAAAGTAACCTAACATTGTATGTTAATTATACTTCAATTAAAAAAAGTCGATCAATGGAACAGATTAGTGTCCAGAAGCAAACTCACACGTACATGGTTTATTAGCTCATGACAGTGGTAACAGTGCAGTGTATTTGGGAAGGGAAAGTCTTTCTCAAGAATGGTGCTGGGTAGGGGCACCTGGGTGGCTCAGTCATTAAGCATCTGCCTTTGGCTCAGGTCATGATCCCAGGGTCCTGGGATGGAGCCCCGCATCGGGCTCCCTGCTCAGTGGGAAGCCTGCTTCTCCCTCTCCCACGCCCCCTGCTTGTGTTCCCTCTCTCGCTGTCAAATAAATAAATAAATAAATAAATCTTAAAAAAAAATGGTGCTGGGTTAATTGGATGATTAATCAAAATACAAAAGGTTGAACAATAAAATTGCTAAAAGAAAAACATGGTGAAATATTCAGACATCATATATCTATTTGAACTAGGACTTGTATCTAGAACACAGAAAGCACATGTACATATCAGTAAGAAAAAGGCAGAAAACTCACTACAAAAGTGGTCAAAAGATATGAACAGATACTCCACAAAAGGAGACCCATCATCCAAATGGCCAGTAAGCATATGAAATGGTGTTCAGTTCTATCAGGAAGAACTAAAGTAAAACTGCATTATGATGCCAATATACACCACCAAAATGGCTAAAATGAAATTACCAAGTATTGACAATGATGTAGAACAAATGGAACTCTCCTTACACTGTTGATAGTAGGATTTGGTAAAACCACTCTGGACAACTGAAAAATCTGAACAGGGTTGGATATATGCAACCCTAAGAGCCAGCAACCCTACTGAATATATATCCAACTGAGAACTGTAATACATTCACCACAAAAAATGTATAAATATAGTCACAGTTCTATTTCTAATAGCCCCAAACTGAAAATAAATGTTCACCGATTATAAAATGGATTAACTGTGGTATAATACAACATGGATAAACACAAGGAAAAAATACATAGCATGGAAGACATCTGAATTACATACATGGGTGGATCTTGCAATGCTGAGCAAAAGAAGTTATAAAAGACTATATCCTGCATGAATACATAAACTGTTAAAAAAAAAAAAAGCTGAAACTGTGGTGGCAGAAGTCAGGATAATTATTACCCTGGGAGTTAGCAGTTACTAGAGGGATTCTGGGGTACCAGCAATGTGCTGGTCTCAATCTGGGTAATTAAGTGGATGTGAGTACTTTTAGAAAATCCACTGAACTGTGAACTTAATAGTTGGTGCACTTTTTCTATGTTATGCTTCCATAAAAATTTTACACTAACTAAAAAAGCAATAACCAGTTATAACAATGGAAGAGTTCTTCACGAATACAACAAACAACAAAATACCCAGTTCAGCAAGGAATTTATAAGACTAGCAGTAACTACAAAGTTATGGATACTCACCATACTGCCCTTACCATTTGCTTCTTTCAGTATCAGTTAACTTACAGGGTTCATGTACTTCAAATGAATATTCCAAAAGAATTTTAATTTGAAATTAAACAAGTGATTCTAAAAAGTTAATCGGGAAGCATGGAAGGAGTGAATACTTGGAAGAAGAATAGTTAAAACAGACACAAAGCTATAATGATTTGATCAGTGGTACAAAATAATCTACACACTACAGTGTATGTAAAGATGTATAAATTTAACACAGGTTCAAAGTCTTTGCTCTTCTATCTTTATGGTTAGCTGGGTTTCAGGATTCAGAATATTTAGGATTTTTAAAAAGTAACATGATGTATATGTCACATACACCTTGTTCAATCTCAAACAGCACATTTTAATAAGCACATTACTACTTTTCTAGTAATAAAATATGAATATCCCTACCAAATGAGATAAAGATTCATGTAGCCTCATGTCAAATCAGGTCACGTTTTGCCATTAAATAATTGATGCTAAACTTAGGGAGAAAAATGGGTTGTTAGAACATTTTGAATTTTAGAATTGTGAACAAGAAATTGAGTCAGTACAGGGTAAGAGACATTTTAAGTAAATGTGTGTGAAGAGAGAAACCTTAACCAGTTGTACCAAGTCAAGTGGTTAAATGTTTAGGGAAAAAAAATATACTCTGATCTGTACTTCACACCAGGTATCAAAACAAATTTTATATGGGCTGGGAGCTAACTCCTAATTTTAATAAGAAATAAAAGCCTAGAAACCAGTGATGACGTCTTTGACTGTATCTTTGGTAAGTGATAAGCACATGCTATGGCAGAAATGATAATTTGCTGGCAGGAATGTAAACAAAAAAATTTTCTGCAATAATTTGGCAAAATGTATTGAGATCCTTAAAAAGATATATACTAAGTTTTTAATTTGGTAATTCCACTCTCTAAAATGTCTAAGGAAGCAGCTGATAATATAAATAGCTATTTGGTTACAAATCTGTCAGTGCTGTTTTTTTTTTGAAGACTTTCTAAGCTTTTTGTTAATTTATAAATTAAAATGACTCTTAATGGTTGTCATATGGTTTTCTTTTTTTATAATATATAAAAAC